GAGCATATATAATACCAACTAAAATTTTGTTATTGTAGCCAACCCATGTTAATCGTCATTGGATGACTCAGGGGTTGGAATAAATTTCACGGTTTGTATTCCACACAGCTATATTTGAGTTTGATTCTTGTCATTTGTGAATAATATAATGGTGGTTAGATAGAGGTTGAAAAACATATATGAATCTTCTTATCCTCAGAAGAATTGACTACCATAACGAAATTACCAGCTAGTTATTTATTTATTTATTTTTATAAAAGCGATGGATATATTGATGAGAGAAAGATGATTACATCAAGGGGAGCAATCAGAGCTCCGATAAACAATCTTCAAATAAAACATCTAAGATAATGTTTGGTGGTTCTTCAAACTAAAGAGCGGGCGTAGTGGACGAGAGACTGTAACGGGCAAGTCTGTGAGCCACCTCGTTTGCTTGGAGTCTGATATGGGTAAAACTAACTCCAATGATCTCCAAGAAAATCGCTCTGGAATCCTCAACAATGGGCCAATCAGAGAGAGAGAGAGATCTGGTGAGGAAGCACAGAGAGCTGGTTCTTAAATTTAACTACGTTATACAAAATAGTACACTACTTGCCACTTCAAACAAGAAAGCTTGAATCTGATGCACTACCGCTCAAAAGGCCTAGCATCATCATTGTCTACACTTTGTTCCAACCTGTACACTCTAAAGATTTGAAGTCAAGTCGATTTGTATTTGGTTTGAAGCCTAATCCGAACACCCATGCATAATCGTGCGTCATGACTCTTCGTCAGCATTCAAGTTTATCTTATTATTTGTCTACTTAAAGAGAAAGTACAAGGCATAAATGCATAGATTATATATATCACAAATAATTATAACCCTACAATTGAGGTTTTAGATTATTCTTTTGTGATCAAAATGTCACGAGTTTGAATTGTTGAAACAGTCTCTTTACAAAGTAAAAGTAAGACTACATATGATAGACAATTTTTCAAATCCTTACAAAATATAAAGACTTGTTAACTTAGAGCTGTCCTTTTTTCATTTGAGGTTTTGCGTTTGGTATGTGATAAAATTCAAATGAAAAAAGAAAGAAAGAGAAGAAATATATTGCATGGCAATGATGAATGATAAATGGAAGTGTTTCTATCTAGTAGGGGAGAAATTTTTAGTTGTAACGGGAATACGAATAGTACATTACGTGTTTTTATGAAGTGGTGGAAAATTTTAATTTTTAAGTTATTAACATTTTAACACATATATCCCACTATTTATATAGGAACACGTGGTATACCGTTTCATGTGACGGTCACACTGAAAAATCTCCCTAAGTAGGAATGCTAATACGACCTGTCGTCCGTGGCCCCTTCACGTTCACTGACAGGCGCGCGCTTATCTCCGTCGTGGTTGGAACATGCAGATGCAGACCGGTACATGATGAACAGCATCAGGCCATTGATTAAGATCGCACAACTACAACCAAACAAGTACCATTCCACTTGCTTGCACCTTAGACAGAGATATGGTATCTCTGTTCTTGTTAGTTAGGTCATCTCATGTCTCTTTCTTTGGCTTTATACCCAGTTCATGCCAGTCGTTTATGAAATTGTCGAACTCACTTACATCAAGGGCCGAAAGTTACACATGGACGTGCAACTATAATTCTAACATAACTTTTAATTTTTAATCACTTCGCTTTCAATTAATCCGCTTATAATTCAGTCACTTTCATCAATGGCTGACAACCGCACATGTTACTACCCCTACCACTGTTATAACATTTTAATTACCTCTGCAAACCCTTTCCCACCACCTGTTCCACCTTCCCTGATCAACAGAATCCATGTCCAACTAACAAATGAAGGAAAGCTTCCCAGCAAGGTCATGGTCCTCCTTGGAGCCAAAAAGGGAGTCAAACAAACGAGTTTAAAGAGATAGTTGACCACAATTCGTAATCAAGACGTGCAGCACTACTAAAAGAGACTCTCTCTCTCTCCCCCCCTCACCCCCAAATGAGTAGGAAATTATTGTTCTTTTTACCACTTGACTAAGTTGGCTTGGTTTGTTCCAAGTGCATGGTCACTGTTTTTTAAGCAATTTCCACCAAAAGCCACATGCATTTGATCGTGTTTTTGGTTCTATATCTCAAAAGAGTAGGACAATTATGAACTGGTACAGGAGACTCCCTAACCCCACATTGTGTCATATACCCCACTCACTCTCTTCCATCTCTCTACAAAACCCTAAAGAGGACTTGCTTATTTCTGAATGTATTCCCCACCCACTAGGATATTGTACCTAATTCAAAGAACTCTGTGTATGATATCACTGTCCATCTTGTTCCATCACCATGTATATGATTCTCTCACGAGGGGCCAATCTTCCTTGTCATCTATGTAGGTATCCTTCATATATTACCAAAAGTCATTCCGAAGGCGAGGAAATTCCAACTCGAGTGCAAAAATGTAACACACTTGTCAACCGGTCTAACCAACATCTTAATATATGATGAATATTTATCTGAAGTGATCAAAAACATTTATCCTTATATTGAATGTATTTTGTTCAAATCTTCTACTTAATTAATATAGCTTGGCATAGGGAAAATTTGAAATGAAAATGTTATTTAAAGGATTTTATGGGCTTCAAAATGGATGCCAGAAGGATTTATTTGCAAATTTCTCAAATCCCACTTCTGGTGATGGCTAATATGGAATAAATTCCTTTACAAATGGTGCCATCTAAAGCTTAGGATGCCATACACGCCATAAACCATCTTTTCTTTCCTCTAGTAGTGCACAGAAGACTTTTTGCTAATAACCCCAATAAATAAAAAATCTCTCTATATTCCTTATACCACCCAAAAAAGGGTGGAAGAAATTGAAAGTAGCCATATATCTTTGTATTTTTTTGAAAGGAATATGCTATATAAGGGGCGGCCAAAAAAACAAAAAGGCTCTCCATTTTGCGAAGGTTGGAAATGAACGTTTATTGTACCCATCCTTACCCTTACTTTGCAAATAAACTATTTTTACGACTCGAATCCGTGACTTTTTGGTCATAAAGAATAAACCTTTCCGTTGCACCAAGACTCATTCTGAAAGGAATATGCTATATAGTCCACTTTTTTTCTCTTTTTAATTAATTTCACCCAAAGTTTGGTTGATGCTAAGCTAATCAATAGGATTTTTTCCAACCCACCACACCTTTGAGTCAATCTCCACTCGCGCATGGGCGATCATCGCCAACAAAACCTAACACCGTACTTAAAGCAGTCCAAACAATTAACAATATTACAAACATATTACGATTCGTTTCAATCAGTGACTAGCTGGATAAACGGTTGCAAGTATGTTTGTGATTTAAACAAGAGGATGGAAACTCGGCCTCACAAAATAAAGATGACAAAGTAAAGGCTCTCTCTTTGGTAGCCATCCAACTTGTCGGGTTCACACAGTTGATGATATCAAAAGAAAGCTAAAGCTATGCGTAAGATCCACTTCTTGTCAATAATTTGGTTTTGATGTAACAAGTTTTGGGACTGATTATCCATAAAAGGAGGGGACATCTACAACCATTTAATATAAAGTAAAAGTTAGACAACACTAGCTACTAAAAACAAACCAAACAAAGATTTGCTAGAAAGAAAACGTTAAAAATAATCAAAAGTTCAACCACCTTTTTGCAAGGGGATTAACCTTACTTAGCTGGCTTCCATAACTCACAAACAAAACAACAAAGTCTTGTAAATGTGTTTTTTGTTTAATTAAAAAATTAAATACAAAGATTAGGATTTTGGGGATTTTATTCCAAACTAGTAGGTTCCAGAATTACTCATTAAACAAGTACCCAACTAGTTGGTTCTAGATTAACTAAACATACCTTAGGTTCAGAAGTTTTTTTGTGTGACAGTCACACACAAACAAGTGATTTTACTAATTTATATGTGATAATATTAGTGATCAATATTAATGAAATACTTGGCGTAAAATTGACGTTTTAAGACTCGTACAATTGACGCCACATAATGAAATAATACTTTGTTGTTTTACAATTAACATACCATAAATCGAAATACTACTCTTATCAAATAAATTCAATTGTTATAATATAAAGAAATTAGTAAACAACACTAGATGGTGATGTTGTAATAGGAACTAAAAAAACCTTGGCCTTAAACATCCTTGATGGAGCCAACTCCAACGGGAAGTTTTCACAGAAAGAAAGGTTCAAATGTCCTTAAGCTAGTAGGGCCACACATTTCAATGTGTATAGCTTGCGCTTGGGCCTAGCTCTACCATGGGGCAATGGGTTCTTCTCACGTGAACAGAAAAATAAAATAATTCAAAACCAACGCCATATGACTGCCCGTCCAACACCTCAAATACTGGCAGGTTCAGGATTCGAATTTTTAGGAGTCTCACTGTTTCAATGTTAAAAGTTCCAAGTTTTTACATAGAAATAGAGTCGAAGCGTGCAAACAAAATTAAATTTTAATTGATTCACTAAGGCATTTCGTTGAATATTTAGTGAACTGGTCTCGTCAACCAAACCATGTTGCGCACGTGTCAGCATATATCGATATATGCTGAATTAATATGATGAGTGAAGAGAATTTGATTAGTGTTGTAGACATAACTTGTCGAGATATGTCTAGCAGTCATTACATCAAACACTTGATGAACACGAACTCCGGATGGTCCTGATATACATCCGCCCCTGACCTCACATATTCACAGCTCATACAAAATTGAACCAATAAAATTGCCAACGTGGAAGCTACCACGGCGTCCCGGATCAAAATACAAACTCCATAAAACCGCCAAAACCCTAGGCTCCGATTTCAACATTCATGCAGGGTTCAATGTCCGGGAAGATAAAAAAGGCAACAGAAAAAACTAACGTCCGTAAATAAATGATAAAATCACAACCTCATTTTCTCATACGATGCAGTCGGCAGTCGACAGTCGAGATGGATTCCGCGCACATAGTAAGTCGCTCAACAATGCAATAGAGAAACAACAAAACATAGGTTTCATATAACCAAGCATTGAACTTCAACATCAGATCTCTTACGAATACAATAACTAAATCCAACTTAGGGTTTGATGTGCTGTATCATGCGAAAACAACACTCAACATGAATGGAAAGATTAATCAAAGACAACACTTTCAGACATTCTACCATTTACCATTATCAGGCCGTCGCTGATAAGTAATTTATTCATAAATCCGAAAAATGACGAATGTAACTACTAGTCAATTGTGCTTAATAATCTTCTTCCTCTTCCTCTCTCCAGCAGCCCTTGAGAGTTGATCGAGGAGAACCGCACCGCTCAGCAGTCTTCAGGAACCTCTGGTAGACAATGGCTCCACCCAGTCCAAGCTCTTCGTGGCTGCTCTCTTCGCGACAGTATCCCTTCAGATCGACGAGAGAATGTTGCTGGAGTGACTTGCTAGCAACATTGGCATGCACAGCTATGGAGAATTCTTTTGGTTGGAAACAAACCAATACCCTCTCAACCAACTCGTTCAGGTTTACACTTTTCAGATCATATCCAGCAGTTTCAAAACTTGCATAACTGAAGCCATCTTCTGGTGTGACGTGAATGGTCGAAATTGCAGCTCCTTCGATGGAATTCATGGAATAACCACAGGGGTCAAACTCGAAATCACAAATATCGGAATCTGGAAGGATTTTTCGGATACCAGATTCGTTTGTCATCGTTGTGGCTGAGCTCGATTCAGATTTGTAGAATACAGAAGCCTTTCCCCTGTCCAAACCAGTCATGCACATTTCAAGAGTGTACACAGGTTCAACGAAGCTTGCTGATTCGGCAGTCGCAGAATACACATGCCACTTCTGAGGTCCATCTGACCTGCCCATCACATACGCCCTGCTTCCTGACCCAAGCTTCCCGAAGTAGCTGTCGAGGACCGAAACTTCTTCTGAGAAGCTACGATGAGGGTACGTCTGTGCTCCCGGAAAAATGAAACTCCCACGAGTGTACTTCACAGATCTCACAGCAAGGGAAATGGTTTCAGCCAACTGCAGGACAGTCGGGATCACACGGAGCAACTTGGTTGTGCCACAAGTTTTGATGATCATCTTGTATGGATGAATAAAGAGGCTTGACTCAGAAAGAACATATGAGTCAACATCGTCATTCGACAATGATGAGACGATGGTGCACTCAGCTTGGTCAAGAAATTCATCTATCTGAGCTTTGGACAGAGACCGAAGACCCCTTCCTTCAGGGTCGAGAAAGACACTCGGCTCGAAAAATGCTATTTCTAGCCTCTTTTCATAACCTTCAAATCCAATAGCAGATCCCTCCATGGCCATATTGACTAACAGGAATGATTACAGTTGCAAGAAGATCAGAAAATCAAAGCAGATTGCAGTTGCAAAGAGATGACAGTCGCAAAAGAGAGAAAGAGAGGAAGATGTCGATTGAAGAAAACGGAAACAAACACCTAGGAAAGCAATAAAACTGAAACCACGTCTCGTGGTTAAAAATCCAACTGAGGAATATCAGGATGGCTTGCGGGCGCACTGCACAAAGATAGAAACAGAAAGTTAGCATTTTTCATGTACAATTTAACCAGCTAGAAGGAATCCATAACCCAACTGTACAGCACAATAGCATACATAAAAACTAGTAAACGGACACTTACGTTGGAGTAAGCAGCCGATCTGAACTTCTTAATTCCACCGTTGGGTCGGATGTCTTCGATGCTGTAGCCGAGAGGTGCTTCGTAGAATAATGATGATTTACTACTACTACTACTACTAGACTTTTTACCACCTTTGGACTCCATTAGGACATTCAGGTCTTCCTGTTCATACCAAACCAATCAAGATATCAGTAATCAGATACAAAAGCAAAAAAATTTCTCAACAGTAAAGCATGTAGCGCATGAACCGATCAAATCTATATGTTATAGATCAGAATTCAAATTATTCTTGCAATAAATACATACCACATTTGCCAAAAGTTATATAATTTACACTTTTAACAATTAAAACAACAAATTAGACCAAAAAATAAAATGAAAATTGTCAAAAATTACTGCTTTCTTACAAAACCATCGCTTAAAATGAATATCATAAACAAATTTCATCGAACAATCAGATTAAGTGCATCACCACATGAAAATGTAATACGTATATATGTAATCATTGCGCAAATTAATTCACCCCCATTCCATAAAAATTAATTTATGATACAAATCTCAATCTAGCCCCAATAATCCAGAACCAGATTGATGATTAACACAATTTACATCAAAATACAGGCTTTATTTAACAAATAATTATAGACGTATACAGATTACCAAAGCTTCGTCATTTTCCATTCAAACCACATATTCAAATCATCAAAGCATAATTTAACGTAAAAAGCAACAAATTCAATTCAGGGAAAAGAACAATGATTTCACTCACAAATATGCGAAATTGTTAGGCACTCTCTCTCCAGAGGAGCGGACGATGGCTATCAAGCTTCAAGGAAACCCTAGGATTTGAGAATCGACACCGAAATTGACCGAACCAGCGGGCGGCGAGAAAATTGAGATCTCAAAGCGATTTGGAACCGGATTAAAACTAAAACCCTAGGGATTTTGATTGCTGCTTATTGCTCCAGTTGGCTGTTTCGTTTTTCTGAAAACTAGGGAGATATGGGGCTTATTTATAGGTGACGTGAGACTTCTGTGACTATTTTGCCCCTGTGTGATAGTGGAAAGACGGTATTAGCCCTACACTGTATAGCCTGCTAGGCTGGCGAGGAGGCTTGTTGGAAGCCGCTGGGCCTTTTGAACGAGAAAACCTATTCGCGGTCATGCGTTACTCGCTTTTTCTGTTATTTCATTTTCCCGAAAATTGGAAAATTCGTAACGGCAATAATCGAAAATTGGAAGGTTGGTAACGTATGCAATCAATATTTTAATCGTTATGGAAACAAACTAGGATTTTCTTTCTTCCAAAACTTTTTTTTCTTCTTTTATTTAAACGTTCATGATTAAATTACGTCAACATCTTATATTGACTTCTCTAAAAAGAGATGGACAGAAAAAAGAGTGAGAGATGAAGGAAAAAAAAGAGAATGAAATTGAAAGTGAGAGAATCCTACTTCTTTGAAAAAGGGACAGTTCATTTTCCTTTTTCTAGTTACACACTCATTTTTATTCATAGGCTTTAATTTTCATCTATTTAGTTTTAAATGCCATAATTAAACATAAATATGTAAGAGTAGAAAAATGATTTGCAAAAACTATTTTTCTTGCAAATGGTAACATTGTAAGGTTAATGTTTTTGGCACGAAATTCAAAAGTTATAGATAGTGAACGCTTGTGCAAAAAGTCCAACTGTACAACAATTTCTAGTATACATCACTTTTTAGTGGCTCAATGATGCATTCTTTTTTTATAAATATTAAGAGAATTCAAGGTTTTTTATGGATTACCTGTTACCTCACAGTTAGATGTTAGTTTGAATATTGACATTATAAATTATTGTGAAAAAAAAAAATAAAGTCTCAGATAGTTCATAAAGAGTCCAATTTTAAGAGTCGTCTGAATATTTTTTTTTTAAGTTGTATAAATTTGTTAAAGTCAAAACAATATAATGACAAGACGCTTATATTTCTACATTAAACATTGACCTTGAAGTCTTTAAGAATAGAATAGCCGAGAGAGGATCCACTTATAAGGATTTTAAATTCTTTAATCACATCTATTCATTATGTATCATGTGATCAATTTTCATCAAGTATTTTTTATAATTAATTTTAAATATAATTTGAAGATTTTTGAAATCCTTACCAAGAAGATCACGGATCCTCACTCACAATAGCCGTATATGGACAGAGAGAATCAGATTCGCGTGGGGGCACTTTTGTCACGATAAGGTTGGCCCGTGGTGGGTGGGGACCTGATTTAACAGAGCCTCAAACCTTCTGACACATGTTCGGCTTCTGTGGCCTCTATCCTTTGCTCTTTTTTCCCCTTTTTATTTTCCTCTCCTCCGATTGCTCCTTTCATTTCTGTCCACACGCTCCGCTAGTACTTGTCCTGCATCGCAATATGTATGCTTTCTTCCCTTATTTTCCTCCAATAATTACTATTTCTTTATTGTTTTCTTAAAACTAGGACAATAAGTGGTAAAACATAATTATCCATTAAAGGTTATGAGAAATATCACTCTATCTATCGTCACAATTAAGCAAACTTATCAGTTTGAAATATCAAATATGAGATCTTTTATATTCTTTTGTTTATTGAGAAATGCAGACTGCACCCTTACTGCTTCTTTATTAATTTTTTGGCAATAATAGCCGCCGGATGAAGGGGTTTTCTTTCGCTGCAATTTCAACAACTTTTGTCAAACTAATTTTTTGACTAAATGAAAATGTTGTCGCACCTAAAAAAGTTCCTTACTAAAATTACTATATTAACACTCTTAGGCACGTAAATATTTTCAAATTATCGCGTTTTGGGAATGAAATTTTCCTCCTTATCTGGTAAAAAAAAGGTATGAAAGTGATCATTTCCGGATCTTTTTCACTAAATCAACCCAATCAATGAATTTGAACTTTTGAAATTTGATCAAACGATTAAAAACATGGGACTCCTTTAAAAATTATGATAATTTTAGCCGTTTGATTAAATTTTAAAAATCCAAATTTATTGATATGGCGAATTTGATGGAATAGATCGGGAGAGAATTCCTTTCCAAAAAAGTAATGAAGAAGAAATTAAAACAAAAATAAAAAACAAATTAACAAAGAGTTCTTGCACGTGTTGGATGTGGTTTGTGGACTCACTCGTGTTAGATGTGGACTATAATTCCAAAATTGCCCCTTCCTAATTAAGATTTTACAAAATAAAACCACCCACGTGGTGGGTAGTTTTTCTTCTTTTATTTCTTTAATTTGTTTAAATGAAAAAACATATTTAAAAAAAAAAGAATAAAAATAAAAAATAGACAAGAAAATGTACAAAAGAAAATTGCCACGTGAGCTTGGGGCAATAGACTAGTATATACAAAATGAGAAGGCACAAAAAGTGATGAAGCTTCATAATACTCAAATTGCTCTAAGAATTAAAAAAAAAAAAAAACAATCTAGTTGGACTGTAGGTGGTTAATAAGTGCATTATTATTTTTTAAAATATATTTAAATAAATAAGTCAATTGCCACACTCGTACGTGTGTAACAAGAAACTAGTATAGCATTATTTTATAATATAATTATGTATTGTTATCCTTCATCTAAATCATGATAAAAATGTTCTTTAACATCACAATTCACACAAGATACATCAAGATGCCATGTCAAAATTTCAACACTAACTTTGCCTGGATTCGGTTTGTCAACTATCCTATGCTTGGATTCGGGAGCATCTAGCATATTATATATGTAAAAGAACATCCGTGGCCATTGGGGCCGTTAAACAAACATTATCTGTGCCCTTTGGGGAGCGTTGAACAAACATTAACTGTGGCCGATGGGGCCGCCCTTGAGATTAGCCATACCTTCTGACTTCTGTTACCACGAGATATTCCTTGCTTCTCGGTGAAGTAATTTAATTAAATTCCGGCTTACCTTCTACATTATAAGCATCTTTTCGTTTGGATCTGCAAAGAAATGTGGGATAGGTTCTAACGCACTTATTAATTTCTTAATATACCTATCAAGTTTTAAATTGCATGGACGGTTTATAATTTCCTACTCAACTGTCTTGTGTAACTCGTGTTGTAATATGAATGGATTGATTATATAACTTACGTGCTTATTACTTCGATTCCCACAAGATTTCTTAAGCAGAGAAATTGAGATTTTCTTTTATACACCAACTCACTATCAGTATCGAACAGACAACCATCGCATACAATTGTGATGCAAAGTAAGCAAACAAGAAGATCTGATTGAGTTGTTATCTTCTCTTAAACAAAGGTATTTGTGCACTCCCATGAAAACACAATTCTCCAAAGAACTCCGTGGAAACACGCCTTAATGGAATTTTAGCTTTTGTTGGTCGTGACCAAGAAATGTGGATACATGTAAAAAGAAAAATGTGGTACAGCCAATTCAAGTGTTTTTGTATGAGTAGATTGCTTATGTCAAATAGCATTTTTCCAGTACCGTACAACAATTTCACGCCTCAATGAAGCCATTTCCAGTGCTTAAATACGCATGAAGATTTGATATGCTAATTAATTATCCCCTAATCAAAGATATTGTCAAACTAAAATAATTAAGTATATAGATGTAACGTTACTGAGCTGTTATGCACTTGTAAAGCTCCATTAACAAAATGAAAAATGAGGTCAGCGAATGTGCAAGATATTTTGGATAATCATCGCCCAATTATCAGCAGGACGCCTTTTTGACTCAGCAAGCAAATTGGGAGGATGATCAATAGCAAAACCTTTTCTCCTTCTTTTTGTTTTTTTGAATATATATATATATATATATATATATATATATATTTAAACTTTTATTTATTTAATCTGGGCCTGTACTGTATTGGGCCTCTCTTTGTTGGTGTCGTGGCCCAACTGGTGTGTTATATTAGTTGGGATTAACCCTTTTTGCATTTGCTATAATCGGGATGCACCCCCTTAAGGCCATCTCCAATTGAAAGGGTTAAAATATGACAATATAACCTTGTTTGAAACTATAGCCCTATAAAATATATTTTTATATAAACAATGTTAGGTCATACTCATATATCATCTCCAATCGGAGAGACTAAACATGACCCCCTCAATATTTATTAGTTTTAAGTTTATTCTTTAAATTTGTTGGTTAATTTAATTAAACCACCATTGGATGTTTTCAAATCTAGCTGTTGAGTTTAAATCAATTGTTGCAACTAAGGAGCTAATCCCCAAAAAAGGGTTAAGAGGGGGGGGGGGGGGGATTTGCTACATTTGGCACCATGAGGCCCTTTGGCCAAATAATGGTCTGGTGGGCTCTAAAGAATTATAGTACAACCATTGATTGGAGATGAGCTCTTGAACAAATCAAACTATTTTTTAGCTTTGGACATTTAGCCCTCTCTATTAGAGATGGCCTAACAATAGGAAAAAAACGGTTGCATGACCATGAGGTAGCCTGGCGAGAGATTCTACCCTGCAATTAGTTGTATATTCATATACGGATCCATGATTTGAAACTCCGGTGAGTTGAACTTTGAAGCCAAATTCTTCCTTCCAAAGTTTCGGCAGAGCTTTGTTCGTTTCAATGTATTTTTTTCATTTGCGAGCTCACTTGATTACGCTATTTAGTCAATGATCAGCTGGGTCCTAATATAAAGTTCTGAAAGTATTTTGTGACAATCAAGGAGCACTCCATGGCTGCCAACACGGTCTTCGAACATAGTACACAGAAATTGGTTGTGATTAGAAAATCAAGGGAACAAGATTGAGAATGATGTAGCAACTTGAGGAGGATTTATTGCATATGGTTGGAAGAGCTTCAGCCTTTATTGTTTGTAGGACTCCGGCAGCTCTATATTAATCAACTATATATAATTAATTAGTTTGAATTATTAGGTGAGAAATGCTAAGAGACTCTTCATAGACTCTTTGACAACTTGTGTGTTTTGTACAATATTTTATAATGTTGGTCCGTAAAATTATACCCCAAATATAAGGTAGCGAAAAATCAATGA